ATTTGTCATTTGTGGGTTTTTGAATGAAGGCCATTCTGACTGGTGTGAGGTGATACCTCATCGTAGCTCTGATTTGCATTTCTCTGATAATTAATGATACTGAGCATTTTTTTCATATGCCTATTGGTCATTCATATGTCTTCATTGGAGAATTGCTTGTTTAGGTCTTCTGCCCATTTTTGGATTGAGTTGTTTGTATTTTTTATTAAGTTGTATGAGCTGTTTATATATTCTGGAAGTTAAGCCTTTGTCAGTCGTATCATTTGCAAATATTTTCTCCCATTCTGTAGGTTGTCGTTTTGTTTTGCTTATGGTTTCCTTTGCTGTACAAAAGCTTATGAGTTTAGTTAGGTCCCGTTTGCTTATTTTCACTCTTATTTACATTGCTTGGGTAGACTGCCCTGGGAGAACGCTGCTAAGACTTATGCCAGACAGGGCTTTGCCTGTGTTTCCTTCTAGGCGATTTATCCTGTCTTGTCTTATATTTAAGGCTCTAAGCCATTTTAAAAAGACAACAAATCCTAGAGTTCTCATCACAAGAATAATTTTATGTTTCTTTTTTTCTTCTTTCTTTTCTTTTTATTATATCTATTTGAGAAGATCGATGTTAGCTGAAACTACTGTGGTAATTATTTCACAATATATGTAAATCAAACCACCATGCTGTATGCCTTAAACTTACACAGTGATGTATGTCAGTTATTTTTCAATAAAAATGGAAAACATTTGTTTTAAAAGACAGAGGAGTTTCTGGGCAAAGCATTTAGGGTCATGAAGTAGGCAAATACCACAAAAGGTCCTGGTTAAAAAAAAAATAGATGATAGATAGATAGGTAGGTAGATCAAATGTGGCGAAATGTCAGAAACTACTGAATCCGAGTGAAGGGCGTACATAAGTTTTTTAAAATACTATTTCTACAACTCTTATATGAGATGAAATTTAATTTCAAAATAAATACTTTTTGAAAATTAGCCCTTTAGACATTATATGGTGAGGAAGAACTCTGATGGATATGATCTGGTTATCAGCAGAATGGAATGTATTGATACATGCATATCTATATATTGACGTATAATATAATATTATGATAACATGATAATAGAATATTGATATATTATCAATACATTGATAGAGTCTTGATTCTTTTATGCTTTCATTCCATATTCTATTGCAGGGAGGCAGACAATAAACTAAAAATAAATAATAAAGATAAAAATTACAAAATTACCAGTTTAATGGAGAAAAATAACAAAAGAATGAGAGTTGAAAGTGGTTGTATTAAGCAGGGAAGTCAGAGGAGGCCTCACTCCTGAGGTTTTGCATAGAAATCTGAGAAGCTGAGGAAGCAGGGGAGGTACTTGTGCAAGGAAAGAACATTCCACAAGGAGAGAAATCAGTGGTATTCTGGTAAATGTTTAACAACAGTCTCTTCGTGGAAGGAAGAGAAGTAATTTTTAAAGTTGGCCAATTTCCTTGGTGTAAATACTCGTTTCCAGCTACCACTGACTTAACAACTGGCTAGCACAGTTCCCGACAATTTGGCAAACCAGTAGCAGCTCACCCCAAAACAACAGTGAGAAAATAAAGAGAAGCCACAGAAGCCTCGAGGCAGGAGCCGCATACTGAATGCATGCCTTGTTTGAAGCCATGAACATGGCGTTAGGGGCGGGTTAAGAAAGGAAACGAGAGACTTGATTGCGTAGGGCCCTGTACACCTGGTGAGGACTTCTATTCAAAGTCAGCTGTAGAGTTTGACCAGGGCAGTGACATGGTCTGACATTTACTTTGACAAGATCACTGGGGCTGCTCTCATGGAGACAGACTGTAGACAAGGAAGGCTGGAAACAGAGAAACAGGAGACTATTACATCAACAGAGGAGAAAGACGGCTGTGGTAGGATTAGGCTCCTAGCAATGGAAGAAGCGCGGAGAAGGCAAATTAGTGTACATTTGGAAGTTAGAGGTCACAGAATCTGCAGTGGATGTGATGGGGGTTGGAGGGAAAGTGAGGGGTCAAAGATGACGCAAGGATTTTGAACTGATTCGCCTAAAGGATGGAGCTGGCATTTACAGAGAAAAGAAACACAGTGAGAGGGAGTTTGATTTTACACACCTTGAATTTGAGATCCAAATGGAGAAGTCCAGTAGAAATAACAGAACAGACACAGAGGAGCAGGTTAGGAGTGAGCACAGATCCCGAGGCCGTTCTCACTGGCCCCGTAGCCCGTCATACCCACTGGAACCACGGCTTCTTCTCCATTTCCTTTCTTCCTATCCTTTGGAGTTCCACAGATTTCAGTATGCCGTTTATAAACAGAAACAAATGCAAGCAACTTGTTCTAAGCACACGTACAAAACTGGAAAATTCAGAAGGATGTTTCCTCCTGTATAAGCTAATTTTCAGAGGGCATCAGAAAGGAAATATCTGAGCTATTTACATTTTCTGCCACCCAAAATTGAGTACAGAAGGCATAGATGTCAACTAAAGATCACCACCACAACTGAAAAATTCTTTTTCTTTTTTTTTTTTGGAGGGAGGGTAGGTAATTAGGTTTATTTATTTATATTTATTTATTTTTGGAGGAGGTACTGGGGACTGAACCCTGGACCTCATGTATGCCAACCACACACTCTACCACTTGAGCTATACTTCCCCCCGCCTTTTTTTTTAATGGTATTATAAACATTGTTTTGAAAACTTTTTGTTGTAAATAGCGTTGTGTTTTCATTCTTTTTTTGGAAATCCGTGAATACAGCGGAAGTTACAGGTGGCAAAATGCATGCATGTTGGGGTCAAGCGTGCGTTTTATAATGAAATTGACAACTACATGTTTTAAAGCAGAATATTTTTTCTATGTTGAGAGCTTAAAAAATGGGGGGGGGGGTAATTCCCCAGCCAGGAGGCTTGAGGGATAATCAGCTGTGAGGAAAGAATGCCAAGTTTCCAGTGTGCGCGTGCACGTTTCCTTTGCTCATAATTAATAGCCTTGTGCTTGCTAAGTTTTTGGAAGGCAGCTCGAAGCCTAGCCAGGTAATGCCTTCTGACAACGTTTTAAAGATCAGTTATGTCATATGGCTGCCTTTTAGAAAAAAAGTCATAATGCATAGCTGTGCCATATGGCATCTTTGAAGAATCAGCCGGATTGGACAGACATTCATTGGATAAGGTCCCATAGCACTTGGGAAAGAATGTAGTCCTGTTGCCAAAATGTGGCCTTTGTTAATCTCCTAACTATTATTGTGCAGAAACCAATTCATCTGTATTAATTATAAACAAATTTTAATTACTTCAGTAAAAGCCCATTATACCGATATCCGATGCCAAACAAGCTGTATTAACTCTTTCTAAGTCTCCAAAACAAACACTAGGTGTTGGAATGTAGGTGTTTTATAGGAGGCGGGAAGTTCTCTCCCCGAGTGTAAAAATGCAGCTCTGACATTTAGTTTCCAGTTCTTTTAAGAAATCCTGTGATGCTTTTGCTCTTCACAGGCAATATCAAAAGGCAGCTAATGCATGTAAATTGTGAAAGGCAGATAATTCTTAATGAGAGTGTTTAACCGCACTTCATATTCTTTTGCTTAAAGTTTTTTTTTTTCTTTTTTTCAGGGCACTCGTCACTGTGAAGCAATGATTCGCAGTGACACAGAACAACCTGACAAAATGTGACCTGGTTCTGGTAAAACATTCATCAACCAGTCATTTGTGATAGCTCTGTGGACAATTTGGGACCAAACGTGTACTGCGCATCAGAGTATAATATCCTTAAAAAAAAAAGAAAAAGCATGAAAAATCAGATCACTAGTGTGTTTTATGGCAGCAGCTTGGCCGAGAGAGCTGGCTGGTCCTTCCCGCACAGAAACGGTCTGGTTTGCAGATAACACATGGCGGTTACAGCGTGCACAGCCGTGGGGACTGGGCGGGAGCCAGACCCCGGGCTCATCTCTGTGCAGCAGTGTTGGAATTGTCTTTGAATTCAGTTTCACTGATGTGTACTTTTATTTTATTAGGCCAACCATCAAAAGTTTCTCTTCCTTTTGGAATTCATATCACTCCTTGGACCTAAAAAGTTAAACAGTTTTAAACAAATAGAACCACATCCTGCCTTCTTTCTCCATTAGACTTTGAAGTTTCTCATGTAAACCTCACATTATTTTTCCCTCCTTTTATGCAACAGAAGAATTTATTTTTATACTTGTAATGGGTACTTTCTAGAAAGCACTCTCCTCTGTAAATTTTCATTGGCAGACGCGTGGCAAATAGCTTTAAACTACGTCATAGACGTAATAAGGTTGTAGAGCTGGCTGAGGATGTAGACGAGGATGAACATTTAAGTGAAACCAGTTATCTCAAGAATTGGGGGGTTTTGTGTGTGTGTCTAAAAATTAGACATAGTACATAACTGAAGGTTTGTCAAGATGTTTCTTCTACTCAAAAGGCCAAAATTATAAATATCTGGCATATTCTTGTGAACTTTATGTTTCACTTATAAAGTCATAGAATTTTGAATTTTGGATCTGAAAAGCACCATAGAAGTTTTTCGGGCTCTCTCTCTCATGTTACAGATGAGAAAAATAATACACAAAATAAAATGGAGCCAAGCGGGAACATATTTTTCATCTCTCCCTCACATGTTATTTCTATTATACTGCACTATTTCATTCCAGTTATTGATCAACAGAGAATAGGTTTGCCTAAAGCAATGAAAGCGAAGAAAAATAATGACCTCAAACTACAGAGACTCCATAGATGTAAATTAACTACACGTTCTTTTCCAGCCACGAAGGAGGCGGATTTCATCCATTTGGCAGCTTCAGCCACACCTGGCTATGTAGCACCTGGTCGGGAGGACGTTGGGGATGGAGGGAATGAAGTTTGGGAGCGAAGGAAATAGGGCAAGGTGGTCTGTGTCCCGGGGAGTAGGACTCTCCCACAAGGGTGTCACTAGGTCACCTGCTGATTCTGTCAGCTACCCATCAGTAACCGGAGCATGGGTTGCCCAGGAGAACTCATTGACTCAAAGCCAGCGCCCAGCCACTCCGCTCCTCGGGTCAGATAACCACAAACTAGGCCCACTTGTAGAACTACAGTGCATCATCAGATTATATTATTATATGTTACATTGATATTATTATAACATAAGTGTATTATTATAGAAAGATATAAGTGTATCTACCTATGGGGCTCTGTATCTTTCTCTTTCTTTCCTTCCCTGTTTGGAGCTGAATTGATCCCCTTAGGAAGCACTTTTGACTCCAGGAATCCTAGAGGAGACATTGCAGGCTCCAAAGAGTAAGGGGAAGCAAGTTAGCTACACACCATGGCACAGAGAAGTGCGATGGCTCGCTTCTGCGCTGTAGAATTGACTTGGGTTTCAGGCTTAAGGGGTGAGTGATGAATGACCTTGCTGGTGGGGAAGAAGCCCCTCCTCCAAGGGACCAGCAGTGATGTCTCCAGGACCCAATCATTACCGTAAGCAGAGGGTGTGTCCACTGCGCCACCTTTAACTTTTTGGGTTAAATAATTCTTAGCTGTGAGGGGCTGGTCTGGGCACTGGGGGACGGTCAGCAGCGTCCCTGGCCTCTGCTCACCAGATGCCAATCACACACCCTCTCTCAGTTGTCTCCCTGGCAAAATCGTCCCTGCTTGAGAACCACTGGCACAGAGACATAACCCAGAAAAGGGGGAAGCCAAACAGCAGGAAGGCTGACCCACACTCTCTGTCTTGACCCGCCCTGTTGCTTTCAGCGATGATCACTGTTCTTTCCGTCCACTTCGCTTCACAACGGAGAGTCAGTGGAGAGTCACCACCACTTCTCAGAGCTGGCCTAGCCAGCTGACATGCATTTTTTAAAAATTTTGACCCATCCACTGGACCTTCCATGGTAGAGGCTGTTGCTTATGGGGGAGGGTGGGGAGGAGAAAGGAGAAGGGAAAAGAGCATGTTAAAAGGTTGTCCCGTGCTAACAGGAAAGTGGTCCATACTCCAGATGGAAAATCAAAGACATGACACGGACGAAGACGGAACATCTCAGACCTGGGAACAACTGAGCGGGGATGTGCGGGGTGATGGCGGCCTGCCTCTCAGCTGGAAGGGGAACAGAAGACACGCAGGAGCAAAGCCTGCAGCAGGTCCCTCGAACTTCACTCAGTCTCCACTGACAAACACCCTTCCCAGCCCACGGGAAAAGTGTTCCTTTTACTCCACTGACATCTGAGTTGTGCAAAAGCAAGTTGATAGAAAAATGTGACTTATGCCTTCAGAATACATTTTGTCTCATTTCACATGTTCTACACAACATCCCCTTCCCCCACATACCACAGCCCCCTCTTGGGTCTGTCCCACATGGTGTCTTACGACTGGGCCTTGGAAAGTGGAGACTTACAGCCAAAAGCCGCAAGAAAATGCCATGAAACTGGCAGTGTTCATTGTGGAAGGAGCCAGAGCATCTGTTTCCGAGCAGGGCTATGAAACCGAGCCCGCAGAGGGAAGAAAGTCTATTAGGCCACGAGCAGCCGAGGGGGAAAAGCCGCAGGAGCCCAGATTAAAAGTCTGAAAAGGCCTGGAG